CTTTAACGATTATGATACAATACTCATTATTTTATTATTTAAGTTATAGTAATAATGGAGAAGCCAATATTTACATTAAAATTGGTGGTACTCGCTTCGTAATTATGTGTAAAGATTGGAAAAGAGCCATAGGTAGGATTTGAGAAATAGGATTAAAAGGAGTAGCTGATGTTGAAATTTTTTTGAAACTAATCTTTTTATCACTCGGAGATATTTATAATAAATAATGTTTTTTAGCGACCCGGATAATTATGATAGTAATGAGTAATTACGCCAAGATGTTTAAAAATGGTCCTTTAATAAAAAAAGCATTCGAATCTGCAGACTTAATTATTCCAACGTTATTCACAATACTGTAATACCAATTTATTCACAAGATAAACTTACAAGTAAACTTCTCAAATTGCAGAATTCTTCTGATCCATTTAGTTCATCACTTATTCCACTTGCACAATCTTCAAGAGTTTATGGCAAGTAAGTGTACATTATTGGACAGACGACAAAAAATAACAGCAAATTGTTTTTTTTGTCGGAATTAATGTCACTCCATGTGCTGCTACGCAGCACATGAGTGAAATTAACTCCGATGAAAAAAAACAATTTGCTGTTATTTGTCGTACGTATGTTCAATAATGATGTTATCCGATAGTTAATATGACCATGTGAAGTTTTTTCCGTGATGTTTTGCAAAACTGATTATACAAAAAATATCATGGCAAAAAAATTCACATGATCATATGAAATGTCGGATAATTATGCTTATTTGTTGCTCAAGTTTTGTCAAAAAAACATGCTATTTATTTGTTTATATATATATATTTTAGATTCTGCTTCACAAAGTTTTTTCATCTCTGATAATATTGATTATAATGGCGATAATTATTAATGCGGTGATATGTTTATTTATTTATTTATTGATTAAGATGAAACTTTATCACCCTTAACTCTAAAACCACTTATACTTTCTATTAACAATATTGAAAGATTTATATTAGCGCTTGTTATATTAATAAAGATATTGAAACAGATTAAACAAATGATCTACGATTCATATAACGATAATGAAAAGACTTAACCGAACAAATCGAACAGTTTAAATAGTTTAAACTATTTGAACAGTTTAATAGGACCCCGAATAACACTAATAGAGGTGGAATTGTTAAACTGGACATGAATTTTTAAAAATCGTTTCAAAGGTTATGTTTTTTTAAAAAGGTTTTTGTTATCAGTTATGTACAACATCAAAATAAAGCTTTTAAGTAAATTTAGTATTGCAACATCGGGATTAGTAAATAAAGCAATAGAATTTAAAGTAGACATAATTTTATTAAAATAAATATCTGATATTGTAAAAAAAAAAAAAAAAAAAAACCATATACCCGGGGTGTCATCCCAAATTTTGGCCAGCATTAAGCATAGTGCATGCAAATTTCGAAGATACACCCCTGGACATTATTTAATTTTGAATTTGATTGGCTAGATAGTTCGTAATAATTAATCTTCATTTCTCTGCAATCGAGCTCTGTGTAGTCAAAGTCGTGTCGTGATCAAGTTAAAAAGCTTCTTCAAAGTTTTGCAATTGTCAAAAAATTTTTTACCGTGTTTAGAAGTTTATAAAAAAAAATAAATAAAAAATAAAAAAAATTGCCATGGTCAAAAGCTTTTTCATGGTTTAGTCAAAAAAAGCTTTGATATAGTTAAAGAAAAAAAGCTTGCCGTTCACTTCAAAAAAAAAATTTGGGGGATTCATTTTTGATCAATCTTGTAATCAAAAAGTTAAATGTTGCTGAAAAACACACTTTACAACAGACAACAACAAATTTGATAAAGATACATCATTTGCAAACAGCGATATATGGACGTATACAGAGGAACTGTTAGAGCTATATTACAATCACATCAAAATCCCTAGTTTAATAAGAATTTTAAAGAATGCAAAAACATAATAATGAGTGATTCTGTCTAATAAGAATTTAAAGTAAGTGAAGACTAATATTTTAAAGAAGACTAATTATACTATGACCCGTCCAAGACAATTTTAAAGAAAGCGAAACAGACCAGTTATAACACCTTCCTATGACAATTTTAAAAAAGTAAAGACCTAATGCTGTAATTTTATCTATTGACAATTTTAAAAACATGAAAAAACCAATCTAATAAAAATGAGATAACTAAACTGGAATACTTCATATTTTTATCAATACGAAAATGTTCTGATTTTATTATTTTTTAAACACGTGCCAACAAATGTGTGAAAAAAGCAAGGTTGTTACATAAGACTCGTATGTACGTTGTGAGCGTGGGAACTGATCCGGAATCTCAAAAAAAATATGGGCTCACGTATATCAACACACACTAAAACTATCTAAAACAACACTATAAGTCACTATCTAACCTAAACTCTAATAGTGGCAGGCTACGATCGAGGCGTGGTGAGATTTGGTCCGAGAAATTAGAGTGTTAGATTAGAACTCTATATACGTCACGAGGCACTGATTTGGGATCACGGGATTATACAATTCACTTGTCGGGGGGGGGTAATTAGAGCGAAACGTTTAAGATAATAGACTCTTGATTGAGTCGAACTCTACTGAGTTTTCCAACTCTCCCTGTTATCTTTATTACGGCAAAAAGATAGGTCTTAAATATCTTTTGACCTCTACTGCGCACATAATGGCTGTGTCTTTACAAATATTTACTACCTTACTTTAACTTTCTAGTTTATACAGATTTCAAGAAAATACAATACAAAAATGGCTACAAGCTAGCATTGGCTTAGATGGGGACACAAATTGTCTCTAGGGGCGATTTGTCTCTAGGGACAAATTGTCCCTTCCCATATTTCCTGTATATAGTACTAACGCTAATAGATAAATAACACTAACGCTAATAACATATTTAATAAATGAAAAATATATTATAATAGAATTAAAAAAAGAAAATATATGGCTTGTGACCGCCGGAGTGCCGCTCACAACGTACAATAAAAAATTTTAATCTATCAGACATGAAATTGTAATATCAAGCGTACGTACAGTACATGATTCTCAAAAATTTTAGCATTTAAATTTTAGTACGGTAAAGTATAATATTATCTGCCAGATTTTTCCGAAATTGAGAGCTGTTTTATCAAAAAATATGGTAATCCATGATTTTTGTGATGATGTTCGGGGCTATTATTCCATATTTTCGATCGGTTGAATTTAGCACTTGCAAAATGTGTACCTAGTTAGGATCGGACGATCGTTCGGAAAGCTAGGTCTGAACGGTGGAACTAGAAACAAATTACGTACGTACGTACGTACGTCATCTTGTTAATAAAATAAAATTACTTATTGTCATTAGTTTATCATTATTTATATTTAAATTATAATAAATCAATAATGTTTTCGGTTGTTTTTTTTTCTGCAAAAAATTAAAAAAAAACGATGCAAAATTTGTTATAATCATGTATTTCAATATTGTAAGCTTTATTTCGTTAATTACAAGCAAGAAATCATCAAATAGAACTTAGCTAAACAAAATCATAGAACATATCAAATCTATATCATTTCACCAAATACTTTCGTCGTTTACGAGTCACAGGTTGAAATTATAATGACCAAATGCAGAAATGTGAAAATAAGTAATGTTCAGCCGTCTAAAAAAAGATATTTAAGTTAGGTTGGTATTTTAAATTTTTTTTTAATTAATAATAATTCAGAATTTATTTAATAACAATGTAGCAATGAAGATATAATATCTATTAAGTTTTCAACTTATCATTAGTAACGTTAACAATAATAGCCAACTTCTGAATATTTCAAGAAGGATACGAAAAACTCGGATCTCTATCGATAGACATGTTAGCATCTTATCTATTTCACCAAATTTATCACATTTACGAATATTCAAAAGAAAATATTGATCAATCTGAAATGAAGGGCATAACTACACAGTTTATCGAAGAAAGTCACATAAAACAAACCAAATGGTTAAAAAGAAAATAAAACTATTATAATGTCGAATTCAAGTTTATTTTATTATTCTATGCATTAGTTATATGTTGTAAATTGCATTTAATATTCCTTTATGTTATCATTAAAAAATAAAGTCTTAGTAAAAAGAAAAATAAAAATTAAAAATTCGAAGACATTTTCTTCCGGACCATCATCTGAACCCAACCTGGTACACATTTTCTGGGTGCTTGAATTTATAGTTATCCAAAATCGGTAAAAGATCAATAATCTGATATTTCTAGTTAATTAAATTCACTATTTATAAAAAAAGATTATTAATTCAATAATGCTATAATATACAGTATATTAATTTTTTTTAAAATTCCAAATTTATATGGTTAAAACTATCACTAAGCGGAATAATCCTACTTTTATAATTGGATTCAACATGTGTTTGCATATCTTCATTTTTTATATTTTGTAGCTTTTTATCAGATTCAGATAACTCTGATAAAATATTTTCACTATTATGCCATTTTGTGAAAACCTCAACAATTTCTTTTGCTGTAGGTCGTTTTTCTGGTTCTATTCTCCAACATTTTTTCATTAAATCTGCATAGCATCTTGCTGTATTTTCGTAAATATGTGGCAAGCGCACAGGTTTACCGTATAAAATTTCCCACATAATTATGCCAAAAGAGTAAATATCAGATGCTTTAGTATATTGTCGTTTTTTCAAAACTTCAGGGGCAATGTATGGCAGAATTCCATAAACTCCATCAGATTCTGTTCTTAACACAATATTAGCAGTTATCGAAAGTCCTAAATCAGCAATGTATGCACTTTTTAAACTATTTAGTAGTATATTTCCACTATGTAGGTCCCGATGAATAAGATCTTGAGAATGAATTATTTGAAGATCTGATGCAATACATTGTAGCAGATTTAATTTATCTTTCCAATCCATCTTTGCTATAACATGCAGATTTTTGCGCAAGCAACCTTCTAAAGCATATTCCATGACAAGTATATAATTTTTAGAATCTTTATCTTTTGATATACCGAAACATCTTAAAAAAGTTGAATCTTTAAGACCGATATCACAATATGCTTTTAACTTATTATTAAAGGAAATACAGTATATATTCAAATTGTTAATTTTAATAATGAAATATGAATAATATAACCAATAAAAAATTTAATAAATATTACCTCTTTTATAAAGTCTTCATTATTTGAATTATGAAATAATTTAAGCGCAATAGTATTGTTTAAATTTTGGCTTTTATCAACCCAGTTAGCACGGTATACGGTTGCAAATCCACCTTCACCTATCTTTTCAATATCATCAAATTCATCGTAAGAAATCCACGATAATCGATATTTATTTTCTATCAATATTTTCTTCAGATCATCATCAATTCCAGGATTATGTATCAACTCATTTGTAGCTATGTATAAATTTATAAATTTTGTCAAATTACATATAATAATAATAATGATAATATAAGCTTATATATAGTTTATAATAAATTAATTA